ATCAGTAAACATTGTCACACCGAACCTTCTTACATCCTGACATACCCTGTTATTGTCAATAATGGATCCTTCTATCTAGTCCTACCCTCATCAACAGTGTGTCCTTCTGTCTAATCTCGTCTTCATCAGTGCACAGCACAGGGACTTGGTTATACATTTGGCACAACTGTCAACAGAGGATCTTGGTCCTTCTGTTCAACACTAAAGTACCAACAACACAGAGACTTGGCCATTCAGCCTTATACTGTTAATTCTGTCAACACAGTGACTTGATCCTTCTTTCTATACCTATTGATACTGTCAACACAGTGACTTGATCCTTCTGTCTCTCCCTGTTGATACTGTCAACACAGTGACTTGATCCTTCTGTCTCTACCTGTTGATTCTGTCAACACAGTAACTTGATCCTTCTGTCTCTACCTGTTGATACTGTCGACACAGTGACTTGATCCTTCTGTCTATACCTGTTGATACAGTGACTTGATCCTTCTGTCTATACCTGTTGATAATGTCAACACAGTGACTTGATCCTTCTGTCTCTACCTGTTGATACTGTCAACACAGTGACTTGATCCTTCTGTCTATACGTATACCCAGTCTATGCCCAGGAAGCAACACACAGACTTGATTATTCTATTGACTGACCGACTACTAACCAACAGAAGGTATTAGCCACTACAACACCAAGACCTTGTCTTCACAGTAAGATTTTAGTCCTCAGAGATGTGCAATGACACACAAAGAAATGAACACACCTCCAAGTATGAGTCAATAATTACTACGACATAAGACCTGCATTCCAGGCCAGCATCAAATGTAATATAACGTCTGGTCTGCTAGCTGTACAAACTGTGTCATCATGTCCAGTACAATTCCTAACCATACCTAGGTGCCAATGTTTCTTGCTACCAGAATAAAATAGCCCCATAATCAATATCAGTCTATAAAATGCATTCCTATGTATATTTTTAGATGTCTACACGTTATTTTGATGAACTCTCGCTCTGAGTAATTGATACATGAAACATCATGATTTATCTTCCACAGAGCCTTCTCCTACCTAAAGCTTTACAAAAGAAACGCTATATAACTGACTACGTCAAGCAAACTAAACCATCTTACCCTGTATGTCATGCCTGTTTTCTCACTATTTCTTTCAATTCCTATCACATGCAACCAACACATAAAACACCGCCATTTTACACGCTATCTGTAATTACTACAGTGAGGCGTGTATTACTGTGACTAGTCACAGTAGCTACCGTATATCAATTTATATCTATTTTAATTTTATACAAAATATATGCAACTGACTTCTGTAAGTGAGTGGGGGTGGTTATTTGTGTGTATCTTCGAAACGAGATCTATATTATTAAAACATCAAGATCAGATCAGATTACTAATTGAAAAGTTGATGAGGTCATGTGATCTGACTTTTATCGCAGAAAATTTCAGGCACAGACGTCGACAGGAAAATCAAATATTTTGTCAAAGTTTTTAGCTATATCTGTAGCTGATGCTGTCTTGAACACACATGTGTCACAACGCACATACAACCATCCTCACTTACTTCAATAAATCAACAGGGAATAAGTTAGCTACATATGGATTTGTATAAACTTAAATAAATCAAAATTTTATGCAAAACCATATTGATATGAAATAGTAGGAGGGCGCGGTGAAAGTGTTAACTTTACCTTACAATTACTTTAAACAAGAGGCCAAATGGACCTGCATCACTCACCTGGTATTAATCTCACACTTGTAACCTTAAAAGTAGACTAAATAAAGCTACAAGCAATATATCATTATTCATGATTATAATTCATTTAAAACAACCTGTTAAAAGATTTAAACACATTTGACCCCTGTGGTTTGGTTTGGTTTGGTTTGGTTTAGTATTGTTTAATGTCCTATCAACAGCTATGGTCGTTTAAGGACGGCCTCCCCTGTGTGCAAGATGCATGCATGCAGAGTATGCGTGTGTGTTTTTGGAGGCTGCGATATGTTCGTGTTTGCCTCCTTATGAGAGCACAGAACTGATGCCGACTTTATAGTGCTACCTCACTGAAACATACCACCGAAGACACCCAGCCGGACACCCCCACCTGGTCGAATTATACCGACAACGGGCGAACCAGCTTCGTCCCACTCCTAAATTGATGAGCGTTAAGCAGGAGTAGAAACTATCATTTTTACGGACTCTTTGAAAGTCGAACAAAGTTGAACAAACTTCTTAACCCTTCATCTCAGCATGCAACTCGCCAAATATCACCACCATAGATAGACCTTTTGTTTATTGAGATAAGGGCGGGGCCACGGTGGCCAAGTAGTTAAGGCGTCTGACATTCTGCTACCAGTGGTTTTTCTCCAGGAACTTCGGCTTTCCTCAACCACAAAAACCTGGCACATCCTAAATGACTGTAGCTGTTGATAGGAAGTAAAACACAAACAAACTAAACCAAACCCAATTATTGAGATTTGACCAAATATCAAAATATTTCAAATGAAAACCATGATAGCTCTTCAGGCAAGCATGTTACTGTCCAAATATCAACATTTTTGGCATTTTGGTTATTCAGAAGAAGTCATTTAAAGGCTTAGTACATATTTCACCCCTGTTACCTTGAATGTAAGTCAAGGTCATTTATTTTAACAAACTTGGTAGCCCTTCATCAAAGCATAATACTTGCCAAAATGTAATAAATAGAAAATATAATGCTTTTCCTGTTGAATTAACAAAAACCATTTAACATCTTCTATATACCTGTGATGTTCCTAATCCATTTAGCTAGCAGTTTAAGACTATTGTTAGTACAGTTACTTATAAAGAATTGTCCATGGAAATCATAAAAATATAGCATTATTTCATTACATCAGTACACAGACAAGATCTATTCTGGAAATATTTTAAAAGCTGTGAATACAATTTGATATAAAATGCAATTTTCAGTGGAGATACAAACAGATAAGGCTGGAAGGAAATCAATTGGCTACAGAGTTTCAGAAGATCAATAGGTCTGGTGTGGTTCTGATGAAGATCCATAGAACCAATGTCACACATGGCTTGTACCAATCTTCCAACACTATAGAAGTGGGAGGAAAGCATACTTTTCTAATTTGTTTGTTGCTATAACCCTATATTGTGAGAAAATGAGATATCCAGTATCTCCAGGATAAAGCATGATAGTAATATAATCTTATCAATTTACTATCATCAAGAGGCATATTGGACTTGTATAATGTAACAAATTGAAGGGGCAAATGGGGCTTGTATCATGTAACAAAATGAAGAGGTATATGGGGGTTCTATCATGTAGATAATCAAGGGGCTGTATGGATTCAATTTTGTAGAATAAACCAAGAGGCATATGGGGCTTGTAGCCTACAGATAATGAATAGGATGTATGGATGAAATTCTATAAAATAAACAAAGAGGCATATGGGGCTTGTAGCATGTAGATGATCAAGGGGCTGTATGGATTAAATTTTGTAAAATAAACAAAGAGACATATTGGGCTTGTAGCCTACAGATAATGAATAGGATGTATGGATGAAATTCTGTAAAATTAACAAAGAGGCATATGGGGCTTGTAGCATGTAGATGATCAATGAGGTATACATAACAAAATCAAAGGCACATTTGGCTTGTATTGTTGACCCTGACACAAAAGACATGTATTGTTTCATCTTAAACATGCAAAAATTTAAAGAGGAACAATAGTAAAAAGTGACCTTGACTTATTCTTAAGCCAAAACACTTTGAACAACAAATTTCTTTAAAGCTTTCTCATACTTGAATTGATTATTATGGATGAAGTTTGATAAAGAAGCTGTTCAGAAATGAAGTTATAAGACTGACGGAAATTATTTTTTATCAATCCTAACTGTCATCTCGACTTGAACTGGCATCATAAAACATAAACTCAAAGGACATATTTCATATATTTTATGAAGCTGAATCAAAATCTATTAAGAAATAAAAAGAAGACAACATTTGTGTATCTTTTAGAAATTATACTCATGACCTTGACCTCTGACACTGAATGTGTTACGGTTTATTCTCTTGCCATGCCCAATTATTGTACCAATCAATTTGGAAAAGATAGGAAAAACAGTGCTTGCAATATTTTACCAGCTAAGTGAGTCCTTACTAGAAATCATAACTTTCACACAAGACCATGTCCTTGACGTTTAATATGTGACCATGAATTTCAATTCAGTTCATCCTGTTTTCACTTCCAACCATTGTACGAAATTTGAGTGAGATTGGAATAAACAAAATTTGCACTATCGTGTCTACAAGGTTGAAATCAATATGGACAGGCAATTGAGGTAACATGTTTCTGAATTCTCATACTTGACCTTTGTATAAAGTTTGACCAAAATCTGTCAAAGAATGAAGCTGCTAAGTGTTCACATTGAATCGGGACGGGACGGGACGCGACAGACATGGGTAACACTATATGCCCCCCCCC